GTCGGACACCGACGCCGGGGGGCGTAAACGCATATACACACGTACACACCCCGAGATACGTCTTCACGGACATTCATATGGAGAGGCACATGCCTGCATGCGCATCATCACACACGTATACGCACAGTAAATGACGGTTTTTAGGAGGGGGCGGTATATTGCGAACGGTGCGGGGCCGCACAAAACGGCCATGTACAGCGCGCGAGCGAGGCCGGCTGGCGCACATGCACACGCCGGGTGTAGGCGTGCCGTGTTGGCGATGCGGGCGGGGGGGGGGGGAGCACCGGACGGACGCTCGCACATACATGCGGGTCGCGCTTTCATCTTTCAACTGAGGGAGGAGGGGCGCGCACGCGCGAGCAAGAGAGAGAGAGAGAGAGAGAGATGGATTGTTTGGAGTTTACAAGGACATGGGTTTGTGGAGGGCGAGCGGAGGGGGACCAGCTGGAGGGAGCCCGGCACTGGGAAAGCCTGCGTTCGGGCAGCGACATCCGTTGCCTCTACTTTGGCTTTTGATGTGCTCATGTGGGGCGCCCCCTCCCCCCCTCCGGCCGCGGGGCGCGTGGAACGCCCCCTGTCACTTGAACACAGGGGCGTGACCCGTACACAGAGAGAGAGAGAGAGAGAGAGAGACGCGCGCGCGCGCGGCTTGCCTTGGGGGATCTTGGGGCCCACCCCACATCGGCAGATGTGGTTGCCGACAGAGCATGGGCACCAAGTCGCCGGGGGTGAATGGGGAGGGGGGCAGGGGGGGGGGGGGGGGACACATGTGCACATGCAAACATGCGCGAACGAACGAGCGAACGACGGCACAGACATGGCTCCCATGGTCAGGAGGCAATGGGGGGCTTCGCACAACTGTCGGGAAGACCCACCCTCCATCATCGGGAGGGCCGGCCACCAGGGAGGCGGGGGAGCGCGGGAGGAGGACAGGGCGTGGCGGAAAGCCCGAAGGGAGGGCCTCTGCCGGATTCGGGCGGGTGGGCATTGCCCCCCGCCTGGCCCTCTCGGCCACCTTACTCGTCAGAGGCCGACGCCGGCTCAATGTCAAGAGGGGCATCGGGCACCGGTGCCGGGGTCAAGTCGGACACCGGTGCCGGGGCCATGTCGGACACCGACGCCGGGGCCATGTCGGACACCGACGCCGGGGCCATGTCGGGCACCGACGCCGGGGCCATGTCGGGCACCGGCAGCGGAACTGACCGGGGCACCGGCTCGGCATTGGCCCGGGCTGCGTCAGCCCGGACGGCATCGGCCCAGGCGGGGGGGTGGGCGCGCTGGCGCGCCTCGGCTCGGGCGTCCGCCTGGCGCAGGGCCTCCGTCGCCTGGGCCATCAGCCGCCGGCCCTCGTCCTTGCTGGCCCACATGCGCATCAAGTGCGCCAACTGGATGAGGACCTCCTTGCGAACCGCGTCGAAAAGCAAACGCGGCGGCCCAGCCTCGGCATCCTGCAGAGCCAGCATCCGATCCATGTCGAGAATGACAGACCCATGACCGGGTCGGATGCCCGGGCCACCGGCACCCTGGGCCAGGGGGGCGGCCTTGGCATCGGCTGCGGCACCAAGCGCTCCGGCCTGGCCACCGGAGGCGGGCGCCCCGGCACCCGGCCGATCGAAGGGCGGTGGCGGGTCAAGCGGAATGGCCAGCTCGGCGCCCGATGAACTGTCGCTGCCGAAGATCCAGCGCGAGCGTCGCGGCGCGCCGCCGCCGCCGCCGCCGCCGCCGCCGCCGCCGCCGCCGCCGCCAGCGCGCCCGGCCCCCTCGGCAGTGCCGCCAGGCGGCGCCATGCCCGGGGGCACCGGGATCAAGTTGAACTGTTGAATCAGATTCCGCCGGGTGCTGCCATCGATGTTCAGCTCGTGGGTGGAGTTTGCGCGGATGAAGGTGTCCATGATCTTGGCAGCGGCCGCGTAGCGCTTGTTCTGTGTGTGTGTGTGTGTGTGTGTGTGTGTGTGTGTGTGTGTGTGTGTGGCGGGCCCCAGGGCGAAGGCCGCACAAATGGCGAACAAGGGGAAGGGGAACAAAGGGCGGGGGGGG